AATTGTATACCTAAAATGTACCAATAAAAGAACTTAAGAAAAAAAAGAAAGAAAAATCTTCTCAGTCTGTTGTACACAGCATTATTTCTCCCTGGTTTTTCTTCTGTCCCTCTCTGGGCATGCTTTTCTCCTTATTTGTGGGTTCCTCTTCTCCCACCTGCCATTTATTTAACTGTTGGGTCACACAGTTCTACAGGTTACCTTCTCTTCTTCTACATCCATACACACTTCCTAGAAAATCTCATCCTTGCACAAAGTGATGGTTTCCAAATCTACCTTTCTAGACTCAGTCTCCTCTAAGGAGATTGCTTCTGTCTCCTCCATGAATAAAGTCTTATAATTATTCTTCATTTGACATGTTCAAAGCTAGAAATGTACAAATAAGCCTCAACTTCTCTTTTTGCCTTATCTCCCCACATACAACCCATCTTTATATTGATTCTACTTCTGTAATATCATTCAAATCTTCCCTTTCCCTTCCAGAGTAAAGTTTCATTACATGCTCTCTCACATCTGTATTATTCTAATTCGTGCCTTATAATTGGTCTCCCAGTTTCCATTTTACTATAGGGTAAAGGCTGCATAACTTCAGCATGGCTGTGGCAGAGGTAGAAATATTTTTTAAGGAAGAATAATTTGTCCAGTAAACATATACATTATGATAAGTACACTTTTCACAATAATTCTAAAATTATGAAGCAATATTGAGATGAACAATTTGATCTCTAAAACACAGATAACTACTCAAAGATCTAAATTTAGTTTTTTATTTAACACATCAGTTGGCTTTTCATTATAAACTATAAACTTTAACATATAATTCAATAATCCTTTATGAATTTGATCAGCAAAATTCTATTTCTTTTAACCTGAAAAATTGATAACTTTAAGCTTTTGAATGTGCAAAAACTACAGCCAAGTTAGAATCTGGGTTGCAGGTGACCTGTACTACTTCCACCTCTATGGCCAGTTGCCTGTATGCAACTATCCAATGGCTCCCTATCTGTGTATCCTGTCTGCTGGTCTTGGACAATTGTTACTACAACATTCATTACATTCATCAGATTATTTTTAAGGCAAAATTAAAAATCATCTTTTCAAAAAATACCAACCTCATGACCTTCCCAAGCTAAAACTCTCAAGCCTTGTTTTGTGACAATCAAAGAGAAGACTTAGTGGTAGTTTGGGCTTATTAGCATGATGCTTCAAATCACCTGGAAACAGGCTCTCTAGAAATAAGTTCATGAATTTATCTCGTACAACCTGTTAGGTTGAGTGGGGTGGATGATGTTTATTTTTTCCTAAGAGTACATACTGTACCTTGTAGTCACATCCTCCTGATCATTGCACAAATGCAAGACCAACAAATTGCATCAGAGACAGATGATGTGGTCTCTGGCACATGCCTAAACCAGTCTGTGTACAGGACTACACCAGCCTGGAGTTTAGGGAGAACATGTGAGTCTGAAAACTTTTCTTCCTTGAACTGCCAAACTTTCTCCCTTCCATTATTCAAGTGCCTTCAGAAGTCATTTCACTTCCTATAGATTCTATTCCAAAATATCAGTTAGATTCACCAGCCTCTAGACACTCCCAGGCAGTTGCCTAATAGGGAACATTCATAAAGTGAAAGTAAAAAGAGAACACCATGTTCTTCGTGATCAAAGAGAGTGGGACTGAAATACCAGGTCAATCCCTTCCTTGCTCTTTCTGTGACTTGAATGAACTATACAACCGTTTGAGACTCAATACCCTCATTTGTAGAGTAAGAATAATGATTCTTACCTCAGGAGATGTTCTTTGAATATTTGATCTTAGCCAAAAGGTGGAGAAGCAATGAGATGTTCTTTGAATAAAAGAGGTACAAATAAGTATCACAAAACCAGTCCTTTAGAAATATTCATATAAATGCATTTTATTATCAAAATTTTCTACATGAAGACACAGGAAGTTAAGTAATTTGCCTAAGGTCATCCAGATAGTAAGCAGAGGAGTCAGGATTTGAATTTAGGCAGAATGATTCTAAGCCCCATGCTTTCAAATTACTCCATATACGAAGTGACTAGTATAGTTTCAGGTACATGTGACATGCTAAATAAATATCATTTTAGGACAACTGCGGTAGCCTTTCATGGATTTTCTTTTTCTTTTTCTTTTTTTTTTGGTACCAGGAGTCGAACTCGGGACCTAGCAGTTGCAAGGCAGGTACCTGAACCACTGAGCTAAATCCTGGGTCCTTTCATGGATTTTCTTAAATCAGGTATTATTCTCTTCCAATTATTCTGTAAGTATTTTTCTTGAACCAATTTCCCAAAATCCAAATCTGGTTAAAATAAATACAGAAAAATATTATTGTATTTTCTCATTACATAAAAGAAAAAGCCTAAACTCTTAAATGTAACATTCTAAGCCCTCCACAATATGGCCTGTTCCTACCACTCTAGAATCATTTGACATTGTGCATCCCAAACGTATCGTCTTATGTTCTTACTGCAGCAGATTATTTCTCAATTCTCTTGTATAATTTGTTACCTTTACCTACTTGTTTTGCTTCTCCTCCTGTACTGGGCAAGCTCCTATTCACCCTGTGAAGTCAAATTCAAATTATATTTCTGTTCAAGATCTTATTCCCTTGATACTTTCCAAGGGTAGTCCATTGCTCTTTCCTCTGAACTCCATAGAAATGGAGTTCACAAGCACATGCAATCTGAACATATAAACATCCACCGCATTCTCAGTGACCTACGAATTAAAAAAGGTTTTCTTCTGCATTACTTCTTTAGCAAAGTACAAAGAAATTCCCTTTCGGTGTTTGGGAAAGTTGAGGTAGAAAAATAAGAGGTTACTGTATTTCTTTAAGAAGTAAGAAAGAGTATTCTACTCTTCCTACATGAAGGAGAGTAAATGAATGGAGACTTCCTGAAAGGAAATCAAACTCTTTGTGTAAGAAAGTTACTGAATAAACTCTTTGTGTTTTGTTGATTGGTGAAAGAAAGCAGCCAAATTCCTAGCTGCCTGGGTTACTATATACTCCATAAGAAGAAAATGCCTAAATTCACTCTATGCCAGCATATTTTAATCGGCGAGACATTGGAGAATAATATGAGCATATAAATCTGAAGTTCCTGGCACTAAGACTGATAGGGGCTAAGTGATCAAGCTTAGTACACAGAGGAGCAGCAGGGACTAGCAGCGCTGGATTTATCATGCAATAACTTAGGGTGTAATGAAGCTAATGTACCATCAAACTTCCCCACTTGAATGTAGCTAATGAGTATACCTCATTTTTGGTCTATGCTCTGGCCCAAGGTTCTTCATTGATCTTAGTAAACCTTAGGAACATGATAATAGAATTCTTGTCAATATGGCATCTTTAGTTTTAATTTATTTTTAAAATTTAATTGAAAAACTAAAAATGTGACCTGGTTTCTATCAAAAATATTATGGTTTGGATCTAAAATGTCTCCCATAGGTCAGCTAATCAGATTTTGGGAAAGGATCAGACCAGGAGGGCACTAACCTCATCAATGGAGTAACCCACTGGTGAGTTCTTAGGAGGTGGTGGGGCCTAGTTGAAAGGAGTGAGTCAAGAGGGCATGATGTTGGGAAATCTTATCCCTTGTTTCTTTCCCTGTGGGTTAGTATATTTCCCTCTCCTCTGCTCTCCTCTGCTCCCCTCTCCTCTTCTCTCATGCTTTTCTCTCCTCTTCTCTTCCCCTTTTTCCTTTTCCCCTTATCCTTCTTATTTTTCTTTGTTATGGCTGTATCTAGATGTCCCCACCAAAGCCTCAGGAGGACATAGGTAGGGCTTTTCAGAGGTGGTTGGGTTTAGAGTGTGTGATGCTGTAATTAAGTGTGTGTTGCTGGGGCCAAGGGTGTGTGATTACTAAATTAGTCCACTGACTGATTTGGCATACTCTGGGTGTGGATAATGGAAAGGTCTTCCCTGGGTATGAGTGCTGCACACTCTAAGGGCTGGTAGCCTGGACAGAATATATGGGACAGACAGAAGGCTGCTCAGGTCACCTGTCTCCTGCTGCTTGCTGCTTTTGTTGCTTCCTGACTTTCACACCATGAACTGTTTTTTCTCCTCTGTGATCCCCCTCTGCTATGCCACCCTGCCTTGGAGCCAGCTGGTTATGGACTGAAACCTCTACAAACTGTGAGCTAAAGAAACTTTTCCTCCTTTAACTTTGGGTGTTGAGTATTTTGCCTCAGCAACAAGAAGAGTAACTAAGACTACCCTCCTCCTGCTCCTCTTCCTTCTTCTTCTTCTTCCTCTTTCTGTCTCTCTCCCTCTCTCTCTCTCTCTCTGTCTTTCTCTTTTTCTCTCTGACTTTCTCTTTGTCTTTCTCTCTTTCTCTGTGTGTGTGTCTCTCTCTCCTCTCTCTTCTCTCTCTGCTCTCCTTCCTGGCTCCCATGAGGTGTGAGCATCTATCCTCCATCACATCTTTCAACTATGATATTTCTGCCTCAGTATAGACCTCAGGGCAATGGAGCCAGCTGACCATGCACTGAAACCTCAAACCATGAACTAAAATAAATCTTTTATATTTTAAATTGTCCTTCCCAGTATTTTATTACAGCCACAGAAAGCCAATTAACATAAGTATGAAACCATTCAAACCTTTTAATGCATACATTACTATTTAGAATGATGTATTTAAAATGATGTCTTCATTTCAGTGAAAATAACCTCCTATCTCCTGAACATGCCATTTTATCTATGAGGCTAGTCTAAGATTCCATCATCTCTCAGGTGGATCACTCCAACAATCTCCCAATGAGTCTCCCTGTTTTCATCATTTTAAAACAAAACTCTAATCATACCACTCCTTTATTTGAAAAAAAAAAAACTTAATATCTTCTCATTGGTCTTTGAATAAAGACAAAAATCCATAGCTCTTAGTCTAATTTATTCCCTACTTTCCCCTTGAGCTTATTTTATGCCTGTCCTCTATGTCCAGCCACTCTGGCCTTTGAGCTGCTTCTAGGGCCCTCCCTTCCACTGCTGCAGAAACTAAGCATATACTTGCTCTCTTGAACAGAGCATACACCTGGGAGAATATTTAATCCAATTCATCCTTCACATCTCAGCTCAAATGTCAGAGATATTTTCCAAAGATCCCCTTTCACTTTCGCACACACACGCACACACACACACACACACACACACACTCAGCAGGGTTAGATTGTAATTTTGCAAGCTTTGAATATCATCTTTGTATACCATGGCAGTTTTAAAATATAGATTAATTTAAGTTATTTTTTTCAGTGGTTTTCTTGTCAACAAATGCTGCATTTCATAAAGGAAGGGCTTGCTTTGTCTGTTAATCAACAATTTGTCCTTAATAACACTTAACTGAAGGTATTTAAGAAATCAAATCAAATTTTGCATAATTATAAAACTTTAAATTGGTATTTGAGGTAGAAAAGAGGTATGAAATGAGACTAAGGAAAAAGACAATTTGATGGTGATGTACCGAAAAAATGGAATCAAATAAGAGAAAATGATGTTTATGATAAAATAGTTCTTTAGTGGAGTTTAGAATATAAGAAATGGATGCTAGTATTTACAGAGATAGAACTAGGGAGATGGAAGACAAGGGCAGAGACCCACGGTTTTAAGAAGTGAAATTCAGGAGACAGGAAGTAGATTTCCAAGGCATGAAGGGGATCTCAAAACAAGACATAACTCAGGCAGGGGATGTAGCTCACTGGTGAGGCTGCCTGCCTCACAAGTGCAAGGTCCCGAGGTTGATCCCTGGTACCAAAAAAAAAAAGATATAACTCTCAGATCATAAAGTGTTTTCAACATTTGGATGGGAGATCAGATGTGAGGGTAAAATAACAGTATATAATTTATAATAAAGTAATATTAATAATTCTAACATAAAATATATACAGTATTTTAATGTAACGTTTAAAACTTTTTCCAGAAGTAATTATTTATGAGAACTTTCATATATATTTTCCTGATTTCCACCCTACTTTTTAAAATTAGGGCTTAAATTTTTCAACTAGTCTCTTTCTTCCATTTTTCAGAAGTACAAGAAGCAGTTTTAGAGTACAGCAACCTTAGTGCATGGCATGTCCATATCCCTTCCAACCTTACCATTATATATGTGCTAGCCAACTGCCAATTGCAAGCTCTGATTCTCTTTGCCTGAGGGCATTCTCTGAGCTCAAGCTGCCCTGCCAGGGAGGACTGAAAGGATCAGAAATTAAGTCTTCCTTCTTAATGCCAAGCAGCTCTCAACAAATTCCTGATAGAAAGTGGTATAAAATATACCAACTTCCTCTTTTTATGATTAGATTAGAATAATTCTGAAGCTCTGGTTCTACATGGCCTCCCTGAGTTGTCCAGTGGAAATGAGAAATTCATGGTAGATATTTGGTTGATAATTCACCCAGGTTGAATGCTTTTGTCCTCCTCATCGCATACACCCACTCCTGTACCACTGTTTCACCTCCAAAATAAACCACTTACATTGACTTCTTTGTCTCAAGCTCTGTTCCTGGCAACCCAAACCTAAAGAAATAGCATGGAAACTCCTACACACTAACTCCTGCAGCTGGGGTTGTTTTGAACGTCTTTTCTTTAAATTGCTTGTGGAAAGAGAACATTTGCATCTCTTAACACTCACCTGTGGTCAAAGAGCAGACCCCAGCCTGAGAAACAGGACCCCACCCCCATGTGAGAGAGCAGATCTTCACTGGAGGAGCAACCCTCACCCTTCACCTGGCAGATAGTATACCAAGAGCAACACCCCCACCATGTGAGAAAATGGAGCCAAATGGGAGGAGTGGGGCCACATCCCCACATGACAGAGTAGACAAGGAGCAGCACACCACCACACATGTGACAGAGTAGGCCCCTAATGGAGGAATGGCACCTTAACCCCAAGGGAACATAACATGGAGCAACAGAGGCAAAGAATAACCAGCAAATGAAAGCCTGAATGAAGACAACACTTGGGGAAAAAGGGAGCAACTAGACCCCATGACGTTATTGACATTAAGTCTAACAGTTACTTAAACCTCTGCCTTGTGGCCTACACCCAGCAAAGACCAGAGGACTGATCACATTCCCCATCTACCAATGAGAGGGAAGACATTCCTGGCTTGAATGGTAACCAGTCTGAGGGGATTAAACAGAGAGCCCTCTGGTGGAAGGAGAATACCTCAAAGACCCATAGTCTCTAAAGCTGGGTATAGAAAATCATGTCTGCCTGGACACCGAGACTGCAGATCTTGGAA